GGGAAGGAGGGAGGGTACAGACAACACCCACGCACACAAACACACGTTCTCTCTCTCTTCGGGGAAGGGTTTTCCAGAAGCATTTGCCCGTGCTTTGAATTAAGTATTTTTCACGCCAAACCGAACCGACTGAAGAGACGTGAATTAATGGCTTCGGGGAGCTGAGGCCCAGCTGCAGAGGCTGAAGGCTGCTCTTCAGTGAGCGACATCTCAGTCTCCCCCAGAGCCCTTCTCAGCTCCACGGTGGGGAGAGGCTGGGAACACCAGGGGGGCCGAGGAGGGGTTCCAGGAATCCACAGAGCCAGCTCCCAGCTCCCACCTCCCGGGCCCCAGCAGAGGGAAAGGGTGGGGACTCTCTCATCCCTCCTGCTCTGGACTCCAGGGCTGGCTCTCAGGGGCCAAGCTCAGCTTTGGAGGGTAACGCTCAGGGCTGGGCTTCTCCCATGAATACAACGTGGAGGAAGCCGGCCCGGTGCCCCTGAAACTGCAGTGCACGTGGGGGCCCCACCAGGGGGGTGATGGCCCATCCAGCCCAACCCAAGGGGAGAGCCAACTTGAAATAAACACGGGGGTAGAAGGGGGGCGTCGAGGGAGGACAATAAATAAAGGTCACAGCTGAGTGACATGGCTGGGGGGGGGAGGGGTGTGTGTGTGAGGGCTCCCAGAAGAAGGGGGGCAGAAAGGCACTGAGTGGGAGAAGCGGACTCAGCCCCCAAACACTGGTCTGTTGAGTCAGAGGTCACGCCGGACAAGGGAGGATGTGCGGCCTCCGGGGCTGGTCAGGAAGGAGCCGGCAGGTCTGGCTCCAGCTGTGGGTGCGCGCTCTCTCACTCTTCCAACTGGAAAGCCTGCCCGTGCGCCCTGCAGGCCTCTGCCCAGGGCAGGCGGAGGGCTCGTTGGGCCAGTCAGCAGCGGGGACTCGCCCGGGTGTGCCTTTTGCCTTCGGGGAGAGAAAAAAGGCCACTGTAGGCTGAGCAGAGGCAGGGCACCTCCCTATGACAGCCTGACCCTTGGGGAAGAAATGGAGGGGACGCAGGAGCTGGAATAGCCCCGGGCCCCCCCTTGTGTGAACTAGCCCGTGGCTGCCGGCTGGGGGGGGCTGGCGCCTCAGGCAGAGCTGGGCTCCGCTCTGCTGCGTCCTCGCAGGCAAGCCGTCTACTCCCCGCGCTTCAGTGTGTCCATCGCAACCCCGGCGACCGACACAGCGACCTTCGATGCCAGAGGAGCCAACGGACCCGGGAACACAAACCTTCCTCAGGCCGACCCTTTCCAAGTGCCTCAGGCCCTGGAACACCCACTGGCCGCACAGCCCCCCCGCTTATCACTGGGCATCTCCCGAGAGCTGCTCAGGCGCACATCCACGCGGACCCTGCCGTTCACCCTCCCCAACCCTGTGAGGGACCTGATGCGGTCCCCACTCCAGGGACAATGGCACTGGGCACAGAGAGATCCGACATTAGGTTGAATCGTACCGAATTGCCAACATCCGGCCATTTTTGATCTATAAACATGCAGCTCAGGCGGCTCAGCCTGACGGTTTGCCCCAGTTCACGTGGCAGGACCAGGACGAGAACTCAGGCCTGATTCCAAACCGCCCCTGTCGAGGGTTCCAGGAGGCCAGAGGGCGCGGAGAGGGCCCACTTCATGGCCATGCCCACCGAGGCCCCCTGACCCTCAGACCTGCCCAGCTGCCGCCTCTCTCGTGTGCCCTGCCCTGCAGCGTCTCAGGAAGCGGAGGTCAAGGACTGTCCCCCACCACCCCCAGTCCAGACTGGGCACACTATGGGGCTTGGTGAGGACTGGGTTGCCTGGAGCATAGTAGGTGCTCTCGAAACGGGAGTTACGGCGACTGTCATGGAGATGGAGAAATGAAAGGTGACACGTTTTATAAAGCTGAGGATGTCATAACCGTTGTTAGCATCACTGATGATGGATAGGGGGGTGGTACCATTATTAATTTGGGGTTCCTCTCTGTTCATTGCAGGCAGGGTGGGGCCTGGCACCCCGGTTCCCGCAGTGCCTGCCCAGAGCTCAGTAAACATACAGAATTGAAAACCTCATTGACTCCTTTCCAGTTTAACCTTATCAACTCCTTTCCAGTTTAACTTCATCGACCCCTTTCCAGTTTTGGGGGACTGAGTAGGAGAGGAGGGTCCTGGGGAGGGGGAGAAGGAGAGAGAGGTAGTGGGGATAGGTAGTGGCTGGGTACTCACTGGAGCCCTTTGGGTCCGGCCAGGGTGGGGTGCCCCTCTGTGGGTCTGCAGAGCCGGTCCCGGCCTCGCTGGCCAGGCTGCTCTGGCTCCCTGACAGGTGGCTGGGTGGGTGGGTGAGCTCCATCTTGGGGGACTCCACGCTGCCACCTGCAAGAGACCACGTGTGAGCGCAAGTAGCTCAGTGCTGGGCCCTCTGGACCTTACACCGAGCCAGGGAGGCTCTCAGCCTGCAACGAGCGATGGGCAGCTTCCCATATGGATCTGAGATGGGCATCCAGGGGCCTGTGCCCAGAGCCCCTTACCCTGCAGGGCTGCCACGTTCTAGCGTGACCCAATTCCGTGGCCACTGCTGATGGGTCCACCACATACAAAGGCCACCAAATGGGCCTGCAGGTGGTTGCCCAGAGGAACCAACATGAAAGTCGACAACCAGGAGGAATGAGGTGTGGGTGGGGGAGGGTTTACATTTCAGCGGACTCAGTGGTGTACTCATTGCTGCCTTTACTAACTCAAGGATCCTCAGATACGCCTGTGGGTCCTCGCCCGGCCAAGGGAGCTGAGCTGGGCCTGGGCCATTGTACTCTGTCTCTTCCTGTCCACTAGACCTTCTGGTCATAGCTGGGAGTTGGTGTGAAGGGAGGGGACAAGAGCTCTGGTGGGGGGAGGTGGAGGGTGTGTAGACCCTGCCCTGGAAACCAAGGCGGGCAGTAAGCTTCCGTTACGCTTTCCTAAGATAGAATCTTTAGCCCGAGGTGCCTAAGAGATTGTCTAGTCCAGGGTAGTTTTCATCATGTGCGTCATCTTCATCTATTGATACTGATATTGATATTGATATCACCTATTGATACTGACCACTCGGAAAACTGCACTGAGGAGGATTCTGAGGCCCATCGGGCTCTGTGGGAAAGCGTATCACGATCAGCTAGTCATGCCTGCCACGGGCACAGGAGTGCAAGTACAAGCCCGTGTGCCAGGCATTTGGCATCTCTGATGGAGCCCAAACTGTGGTCCCAGCAGGAATTCCTCCCACATCCGCTCTGGCAGGTCCCCAGCCTCGTCCCAGGGCAGCAAGCGGAGGCATTGCGCTCCAGTGTGGGGCATAAGAAAGCTTCCTTATGCACTGAGATCAGCCTCGGGCACCGTCTTCAGATACCCCAGTTCTAACCTCTGGAATGATTCTGAATGAAGCTGGTCCTTTTCCCAGGAGGGCCCCTCGTGTGTTTAAAGGAGAGGAACAATGGGCCCCGGGCCTTGTCTGCACCAGCCTCAAGGCCCCAGTTACTTCTCTTTCAAACATCAGGTCACAGAGGAGAGCTCAGAGGTGTGAGATTCAGAGGGAGCTTCGGAGACCACCTGCTCCAGGCCGCTTGTGCTAACTAGTAGGCAACAGAGGCCCAAGAGGCCACAGTGTGTGTCTGGGGTCCCACTGCAGAGCTGGGCTACACCAGAGACACTGCACCTGGCTTTCACGGTCTCATCATTCACGAGGCAGAATCTCATCGGGATGCTCCCAGGGAGCTGGGGAGGAAGCCCGGGTGTGCAGGCCGAGGGTCAGGGCAGCCACTGGACCTGCCTCCCCGGCCCCCGAATATACAGCTGAGCCTCCTTTCTGCCTTGCTCTTCAGTGGTGCTAAGACTTCGGCTCCTAGCCGTCCTGCCCCGGGCCCCCTTCTCAGAACATCCTGACCCAGAGCGACCCTGCAGACACCCTGCTGGGGGGCAGAGGCCCACGGCAGCAGCAAAGCCACCCGCCCCTGGAGCTTCAGAAACCAGCATGCGCTTCCCACACTCACCTGAGTCCCCCCTGGATCTGCCGCCTTTCGGGTCCCCGAGCCCAGGGGGCGGGAGTCTGTCCTCCAGGCTGGAGGAGCTGAGGTCCGAGTCGCTGTCGCTGTCGCTGGAAACCACTGGAAGAACAGACACCAGCGAGGAGGTCACCGTGACTGGCCACCACCAGCAGGCACGTTGGGCAGAGGGGCCAGGGCAGGCCTCCCTCCTGCCAGGACGAAGGGCACAGAACCTCGGCTGGCCATGTGTTTGGGGCACGGGAACAATGGCCTGGGGATGGGGACGGCAGGCCACTCCTTTCTGCCAGTCAAGGAGGGCTCACCCTGGGGCCAGCCCTCTCCACATGTCACCCTCTCCCCGTGGAAGGAGCCAATTGTCCCCTCTGGTGAAGGCACAGCCGCCCTGAGCCTCGCCCCTGGCCGTGAGGCAATGCTCGGTAGTCATGGCAATGCCAGTCCTCGCTGACCCTTACAGAACATTCCAGGCCCTTGACACACGCGAACCCATTAAAGCTTCAGAACATCCCTGTCAGGCAGAAAATAGCGTTCTCCCCATTTTACAGGCAAGGAAACTGAGGCACTTGCCAAAGGCAGTAAGCGGAGGAGCCAGGATTTTAGCCCTGGCAGTCCGGCCCCACAGCCTGTGCTCCTAAGCACCCCGATTCCGCTGGAAGAACGGAACTGGGAGCCAGCCGGCCTGGGCTCTCAGCCCAGTTCACCCAGTAACTCTCGCGGGGTCTTGTGGGTGCAGGAGGGAGCCGGGCGGATGGGCTGGGCTCCCAGGAGACGGAGAGGAGGAAAGCCCTCACAGGGAACACCCCCTGCGGCAGAAATCCTCTTTTCTGGACTAAACGGGACCGTATTCGGCTGGTTCGTCACCGGTGGGAGTCGTCGTACAGGATCTATTCATATGGTGAGCATTCTGTTGTAATTTTAAGCATAGAAATGTACATCCATTTGCCAATCTTTTGCTGTAGAGTTTGGGTGCTTCTTCGGGACCGGGTCCACATGGTCTTTCCTGTCTCAACTGCACGCGTGTTTGGCTGTGATTCCCAGGTTCAGGGTCTACACATGGGAGCGGAGCTTAGAGACAGGGAACGCAGATGAGGGCAGAATCCTCTCCTTTCCTGTTTCCTTCTCCTGTTTGCTGCCGTCGTCCTGCCCACATCTACTCCAATCGCTATTTTAAGCAAGTGGCTTCTATCCAGACATCCCAAGGCCCCGGCTTTTATGAGACAACTGTTTGTGTGTGTGTTTTTCTGACTCTTTTCATCGATTTACATAACGTTTCATTAACTGATGTAATTATAACAAGTACAGATGTACAGAAAGGTTTGGGATTACAGGGCAGCGGCTCTCAGAGGCGACTAACTCAGCGGCTGGGGTAAGAGTGTTTGATCCCAGGGAATGCAAAATGCTTGGTGAGGAGGGAGGTTAGGAGGGGTTGAGCTCCTTCTGCCAGGCACTGAGCTAGGTACCTAGCGAGCGTTATCTTAGTCAACCTGCCAAACAGCCCTGTGCCATAGGGACCCATTTGGTGGGAGATGAGATTGGAAACAAAATTGATCTACGCCAAGGATGGCTAAGCGGTTTCATCGGACCGACCGGGCCCCTTCGGGAGCGCGTGCGGAGGAGAAGCCTGGGGCTGCGTTAACCCCCAGCAGGAAGGAGCGGAGAGCCCGGGCCGGCAGGGAGATCCACGGTGGGCACTGGGGGGAAACGGCAGGACCTGTGCCACGGAGCTGCCACCTGGATCTAGAGCAGCGGTTCTCAACCTTCCTAATGCCGCGACCCTTTAATACACTTCCTCATGTTGTGGTGACCCCCCAACCATAAAATTATTTTCGTTGTTACTTCATAACTGTAATTTTGCTACTGTTATGAATCATAATGTAAATATCTGATATGCTATATGTGTTTTCCGATGGTCTTAGGCGACCCCTGTGAAAGGGTCGTTCAACCCCCCCCAAAGGGGTCTCGACCCACAGGGTGAGAACCGCTGCTCTAGAGCTTTCTGGAAAGCCTTCATGCCTTCAGCCTGTGCCACCTGCCAGCTAACGGAGGCACAGGTCACACACCAAGCAACCAGAGAGTTGGAGCTGACTGACCATTTCAGCCCTAAGAGAGTCTCAACCTTGTGCTTCCATAGCAGAGGGGCTGGCACACAGTAGGTGCTTTGTGAAGCTCTGATGACCAATCAGCTCTTCTTTCTCCCTTATCCCCACGTCCTGACCGTTTCACCTCCTAAATGGTCCTGAAATCAATACTGAGCTCAAAGCCTCATCGTCTCCAGCCTGGATTCCTGTGATAACCTCCCACCTGGCCCCATCGCAGGCCCCTCCCCCCGCCCCCCTGCACAGCCGGGATGCTCCAGCTGACACACAAGTGCTAGTTACCCCTCTTCAAAGGCTCCTCAGAATCTACAGGCCCAAGCCCAAGCTCCTGACCTCTGTCCACTTGTCCAACCTCATCCCATACAACTTGCTCTCCTACCCCAGGCTCCTCCAGCCCCACCGGCTTGGAGCTCTTGCCAAACTGCCAGTTAGCCGCTTCCCTTGGCCCAGAATGCCCTGCCCATCCCCCGTGCCCGGCTGGCCGAACGCCTGTGCATTCTGCTACAACGGCACCAACCACTTTCTGCTGTGCATGTCTACGCAGGTGTTTCCCCAGCAGAACCGAGGCTCCGTGCGGGCCGGGGCCAAATGACACCGCGAATCAGGCTGGTGTGCTTCCCCCTCGGCAGAGCCGGATCCAGGTGGGTGGGGCAAGAGTGATGCTAACCTGAGTGTCCCAGCGGGTCCTTCTCTGTCTGCTCAAGGATTCTGCCTTTTCTGCCTGTTTCTCCCCCCCACCCCCCTAATCCCCACCCTCAAGGAAGGCATCTTGGGCTTTTGTGATATAGACTCAAGAGGAGACAGGGACCAGGAGGGGTGGTGGTCCCTATGCCCCTCCCATAGTATTTGAGAAAAGCAAGGAGAGGCCTGTCTTACTTTGCAATTGCTTTTCAGGTCCTGGACTGGGTTTCTTTGGTCGAGATTCCACTGAGACCAGGCTTCATTGGTGCTGGTTCTGTAGGCATTTAAGTATCTTTAACTCACTGACTGACTAAACACCAACCCTGTGGGTTCACTGAGATTGAGGCCCCGGCCTCTGACGGGGAAAAGGCCCAGAGAGAAACCCTGGGCAAATGGCTGGATTCAGATTTTTAAAGTATTTACAGGCTCCCCCTGACCGAGAGGCTTAAGGACCATCTGGTCACCCTTACTGACTTGGAGCGCTCCATCTCTTCCGCGCTAGACACGCAGGATCTTCACAAGCCCGGGGCAGGGGGACACGGGGCTCTATGGTGTTAAAATCATGCCAGGATCCTCTGGCGCTAATGGGCAGATGCCAAAAAGCACAAAATACCAAGAACTGGAAGGAGACCACGGGAAAGGCTGTCCCAGACCTGGGTTACAGTGGCAAGCTCACGGATCTCATCGCTTCCTCTTCCTCCCTTCCTGTCATCTGTCGCACCTGGTCACGGCACTGGATTGGGAGTGGGAGTGGGTTTAAATTGCAGGAAGACTGTGCTGGGCTACGGAGGGAGAGCAGTTTTTGTTGTGAGGGGTATGTCTGGTCCACAGCACCAACCCTGGGGGTGGGTTCGGGTACACAAGGCTTCGAAAAAATAAGACCTCCTCAAGTTACAGTCAGTCGGCTTGTTCTTTGTCTCCTTTTATGGACCCCAAAGGGCTGCGGGCATGGAAGGGGCGGACGGAGGGCCCCAGATGACAATGAGCTCACAAAGGCATCATAGAGCAGAGAAGCAGCCAGCTGACAGACCCATTCCCTTCGGATGCACCCCCCTTGGCTCACGCATCCTTGCTCATTGTCTGGGATTTCGAGCCGGGCCAGGCTCAGCGTGGAGGCCTTTGTGAAACCCCAACCTTGGCTCATTTGCCATTCGATGGCCGTCACTACCATTCTCCCCGCACAGCAGCTGCTATCGTAAATCTTCCAGGTCTATTAACAAAGCGTTTAGGCTCATAAATCTTTTGGCCCTTGCTCTTCCATCCTCAACAAAACACTCTGTGTGTCTGCAGACTGATCCCCCTCCTTCTCCAGTTCCCCAAAGGTTGAGTCTAGGATGGCTGGGTGATGAATGCTTGTATTCTGCCCACGCCTGATTTTTCAGACCGGAGACGGGAAAGCACCAGGAGGAAGACAGCCCCAAGAGCTTCCCCAGGAGGCATCGCCAAATGGATTCACCTGGGCTTTGCCATGAGGCAGGCAGGACGGAGGGCCTTCCCCTCCGGTGAAGGCTGAGCCCCTGGACCACTTGCTGGGGGACCTGACATCCCCGAGATTTTCCCATCATGCTGATGGGCTGTCTGCTGCTGAGGATGAAAACCAGCACCAGCCGTGCCCACTTCTCTGGGGATAGGCCAGCTTCCCCCTCCCCCACCCCCCCACTCTTGGATGGATTTGCAATTTGACTATCGCCATGGAAACTCAGAGTTTTGGCACATGAAGGTGGGGGGAAGTCCTCCTTTTTGGAAAGTCTTTCCAGACTGCCTGAAAGGATAGGTGTGGCAGCTGCAGTGGGTCCTGTGGAGACGCCTAGCCTGGGCCGGTCCAGGGGACTGGCAGGATCCTGGGATTTGGGGACCTGCTTCCTGGCTCTGCTCTGCCACCGCCTCTGTGACCCTGGGCACCTCACAGTGTGCCATCACACACACAAAGAGGCCAACCCGGACAGCGACTCTGGGTCTGAATTCTAGGATTCCTCTTCGGGTCAGTTTTGTTCATCAGTGGAGAGACCCCAAAGCCTCTCTCGGGTTGAGAGGTGGGGAGACGCGATGTCTGGGCCACACGACACCTGCCTGCCTGGCACAAGGACAGCCGGCAGCCTGCGAGCTTCGGCTTGGAGGCTCCCATAGCCCCAGAAATTATGGGAATTAGAGAGGAAGAGAGATATTTTCAGCAAACATTCTGCCAAGGCAAAGCAGATGGTGGAAAATTTTGCATACTAAAAACAACACTTTTTTTTTTTAACGTATAGGAAAGATAATAAGGCCCCGGGGAATGCATAGACATCCCCAATTAGCCTTCCCCAGCCCCCCAGGCTGACATGGCTT